TACGTCATCGATTTAGTAGAATGCAGCCACCAGATTCTCGTAATTGGCAATGCAGACTCCAATGGGCATTTTTTGCTAGCTTTTCATCTCTTAGAGTCTCTCCCATATGGTACCAAATGACTCAATTGTGGAGGTACACCAATCCGCTACTAGAATCAATCCGGCTAGTGAACACGAATGAAGTGATGAACATTCAACTTTGTTGAACGAATCAATTTGTGGAGTCAAACTTTTGATTTACATAGCGTCAAGCGCGTGTTTTGATCAGTTAAGCTCTCTTGAGCCTTCGAGAGCGATTCGAAGATCAAAGTATCATACCTCGTCCATGGAAAGTGATTCAACACGAGTTTGGATTGTTGGCCAATGAAAAGCCATTGATCGCATGCTTGCACACTCGATTCCCACATGCATGGATTGATCCATACAATCAAACAGCCGTCCAAGCTGTGGTTTCGGAGTGACTAGACATATTTCATGATCATCTGGAGACAGATCTCTTCTTTATCGTGCAGACTTTAGATGCAATCCTCCCTCCATTCCCAATGGGATGACAATCACAATTCTCTTGGCTTAGTGTTCTAGGTATTATGTAGATACAAGATCAAGACGCTTTTTTTTAGTTCAAGCGTCATACCTCCATTCCTAGTGGGATGACAATCACAATTCTCTTGGCTAGGTACTCCAGGTATTTTGTTGGTACAAAATCAAGGCGCTTTTTTTTAGTTCAAGCGGCATACCCGAAGGATATGTTCCATCGTGGACTTCTCTTGCGCATTCAAGTCATCTATGTTTCAAGCCATCCTCATCGATGCTCAAATTTTTGATGGTTTTATTGGCATGGAGGGGATCAATTCTACACCTACACAGCCAAGAAGGGTCGTCTTCTACACCAACTGCATATCCATCTTTCTTTGACCATCCAGGTAAAATGGGTTGGATTGCTACCGGCGTCGTTCACCCTGGACTGGAATGATGTATGGACATTCCCGCAAAAGTAAGCGGCATTTTTATGGAGTATATCACTGCGCAGTGGCTGTGAACCAATGGCGCCAGAAAGCATTTGCGGAGGTCTCCAAGCTATGTTTGTGTTGTGACGCAAGAGAGCCCGAATCAATCCTCCACTATTTTTTTACTTGCAAGATGGCTGTACGTGCGCGGAATTTTGCGATGACAGTGTTACAAAAGGCAGCACACTCTCCAGCTACAAGCATGACGTGACATAATTTGTCAGGGAAGCAATGCGTGTTCGGAGAGCCACTCCCACTGCCGTTACAACCCCTCTCCCATTCTTGTACACTCAGAAGAGGATCGTCTCTATGGATACTCTGAATTCAGAGGAATCACTTCATCTTCCACAACCACCAATGGACGCCAGCACTCTTGAAGCATTGCAGATGGGATGCGATACTAGACTTGGCTCAGAAGGCATCAGCTAAGATTGCATGATGTGAGAAGCATCAGCCACAGGTGGTGCTCAACGTAAGCAGAAAGTTCCACTACACATGGGATCATGCAGGTGTATTATTTTCCCAGCATGCTACGTGGATTGTATGGAACTACCAGCGACCATCATTTGCTACTTTCGTCTCCACTTAATCAGGTGGATAAAAGTTTTATCAGGTTGTAAATACTATATGCGGTATTTCCAGCTTGCGCTGGCTTGCTAGGTTGTGCAGCGCTGTTTGTGTTCAATTTTGCAATGGAATAAAATCACCATTTGCTTCAAAAAAGAATAAAAAATCTTATGTGTGAAACTCTATATTAAGCTTTATATTCCAGCATCTTTCAAAAACTATGTACGACTTACAAGTAATCAATTACTTGGATATAGTCAACAATCCTAAAAAAGACTCTTATCCAATATCCATAACCATTCAAACCTTCCATTTTATTGAATGTGGTGCATTATAATAGCGTTATGATATACTGGAAGTATATCATAAATGAGCAGGCAACTCTAAATACGGAAATCTATAAATAGGTCTTTCATTTTCAAAAAATGTCGTTTTTTACTGGAAAATTTAGGTTCTACTTCATTCATGTTGAAACTCTGTGACGCATTTCCGTATTCCCAACGACATTCCCTTGACCATTTACTCAGTAAATGGTCAAGTAAATTACGTAGTAAATTTTACTGCACTCTTGCATTCATGGACATCACTGAGCCTGCTGCGAAGCGTCATTGCAAAGCTTCAGCTTGCAAAACACCGTTCCAGCCGAAGCACGCAATGCAATATGGGCTGGCTGTCACCGCCCGCGACCCGACAACTTCCGAAGTTGTTGTTGTCCGCTGCCAGTTCTGTGTATGTTTTGGTCGCGAAGGATCTTCTAAGAAGTCCTCAACGACCTGGACATTCGAAGGGCCTCCATTTCAAACCGACAATTATACGCAGCATCTCCGTCTGAACCACAATTCTAGATGGACTGAATACCAAGGACTGGAACCGCAAGAGAAATCAAAATATTTTGATGTAGCTGTCAAGCACGCTGAAACAATTTGCCCTTATATCGAGAACATATCTACAGCCATCACGTTAAGCGTCAGAAGCGACATCATTGACGTTGTGATTGGTGATATGCTTTGGCTACCAACAGATATGGAAGGGCAGACACGTGCAAACGCAATGTCTCTTTTTAAACCGAATGAAGACGGTAGCGGATATCTCGTAGAAATCAACAAGTCCAAGCAGTTCTTGTTAGCGACTCGTTTTGTTGGACGTGGTATGTCGTTTGCGATGGCTGCTGATGCAATCCATGCTGCAAAGGATGTTTGTGACATTCCGAAACTCAGCGTTTGCAATGATTTCCTGGTTGCTTCCTACGCTAGAGTTGCTTGTGCAATTTTGATCGAGCACATTTTGCAAGCTCTTAGCAGTAAATGGGCATTTTCTGTGGCTTTTGATGCTTCCACCAACTTGCAACAGACTTCTTGGGTTGATGTTCGCGTTCGATATTATCAAAGCTCTGGTCTGGAGAATCTTCACTTGGTCACTCTCCCATTTGCTGGCCGACATACTGGCTTAACGACTTTCGAGATGTTTGAAAAGCTATTTGATGCGATCTGTACTCTCTGGAAGAACAAGTTGATTGGTTGCTCGACGGACAAAGCTGCCAACATGATCGGACGTCTTTCCGAAGTTGTCACTCGGATTCAAAATGTTGTGAAGCCTAACTTTATCCGAGTTTGGTGTCTTGTGCATCAGATTGATATCGTCATGCAGAAAGTGTACAAGAATGCCGGGTGCGATTTCCACAAGACACTTACTTCCATTATTCTTGCGGCGGCAGAAGAACTTGATTGAGGAAATGCAGGCCATCTGTCTGAATCTATCTGCAACTCGATGGGGTTCAATGTCGCGAGTCGCTCGATTTCTGGTTGAAAAACGAGCGGAAATTGCGACATACTTTGCTGAAATCGACTCGCCCGACCGTCAGGACCAGCTTCCAACTCCGGTTTTCTGGATCTTGTTTTCGGTTGTTAGCGAGATTTTGAGCCACGTCAGTGAATATGTCGAAGTCTTGCAAGGCCGCCGGGTCACCTTGCAGCAGCAAGCGGCGGCTGTTCAATCATTGCTGGATTCTTCACAACGTTTTGCTTTCGTCGGAGTGATTCCGGATGACACCATGTCTCCTGCTCATGATGTCGTCGTTATGGGGAGAGACAGGTGAGCCATGCAGACCTAACTGGATTTATTCAAGATCAAGGCATCTTTGCCAATCAGACTCTTGCTAAGTTACAGCCAGAAGAATGCACCAAAGTTTTGCAGGCTGTTGGAGAAATCCTGCTGTCAATCGTCAACGGGCTAAGTTCTGTGGAAGCTTTACGGGACAAAGTGAACGATGCCAGTACCAATGGCATTCCTCCTTGTTTACCCCACGAGCTGCTTGCCTTAAAAGCACAAGACGTCGTTCAGTTAGTGCTGAAATACCACGATCGACTGTCGACCTCTTGGTCTCAAAGCTCCATTGACTTGATTGTGGATCAACACAAAAAGCTTTTCAATGCTGTCAACAAAGAGCCAAGACTTCAAACTGCTTTCAGCCGTCACAGCGAGCAAACCGATTTCAGTGATGCTTGGAAAACCGCAATCATTAAGGACCGATTTCCTAAGTTAATGGAGTTCTGTGGGGGGTTAATAACTCCTTTTCCTAATACCGCTACTGTTGAAAGCGATTTTTTCCATTTTAAAATGGAAAATATTCGTTCTCTGCTGAAGAACCAGCAATGATGTCTTACCAAATCCAATAAAATGTCGTATATTCCGTATTTTATTCCTGCAGCGCTCCGTATTTTAAAGAAAGACGGAACATTCGGAATGTTCCGTACTTAGAGAGGCCTGTAAATGAGGGATGTACTCAGTCAGTGCCAAATGTGTTCTAATGAAGTTTTAATTTATGTTAGATTGCTTAGGTTCAATAACACTGTACCTGTAAAAAATATGTTAGGTCTAGCCATTCCAGCGTCGCCTCTTTGAGAATTAAGAGAGTGCGACGGATCGTGGCATCAAGCAAACGAGCTTCACTTACTGTCATCCAGAGTTTATGTTTTGCTTTTGGGATTCTGGCCTTCGCAATGTCCAACCATTCGACCTTATCCCTCACCAAGTGCAACCGCTGAACTCTCGCTTCGCTTAGGAGACGGCCTAGACCAAGGCCTTGTAATCGTTGTCACCACATATCAATGCCACCGTCTTTAAAGTTCATTTATATGCCGAGGAGGGCAGAAGATGAAGAATTCTTAGCGGAAAAATCGGACGGCGAGTGAGAGGACACATGAAGGAAAGATTTCTTTCAAGCTGGATGCACTGACCATTACTGGCTACAGCCATGCGCATCCAATCTTTTTCCAAAATCTTCTGTAAATTTCGATGTGGCCGCTTTCCATTCAATCAAAGAGTTAGTACACCTTTTGGAGTCTTCAAGTGCATCCTTCGCCATTCGTGGTGCGACAGTCAGGGACTGTGCCGTCCGCCTCTCTATAAATCTTCATTAATTGTCACCTGCTTTATTATGGAGTTACATTTCCATTTCGTGTAGCCCGTAAGTCCTGGTAGGATGTAAATCTCACAACTATGTACAAATATGGGGAACTCAGCGAATTATTAGGTTCGTCTTCGCGGTGAATATTGACGACCCACAGATATTATACTGTGAAAAGTCGACTAGGGACTTACACGCTACTTTACCGTAAGCAAATCTCGCAAGAAAACATCAAAAGGTAGCAGTAACAGACGCTATTGTTGGTACTGGATGTGAGAAGGGAATGATTCTGGGACCTTATGGACGTGCGTGTGAGTGTGTGTGAAGTCAACAAGAGAGAAGGAATCCTGGTACGCTAGCAGCCGATCTGCTGCAAGGTGGTGAAGTCAAACTCTGGTCCCGTTCCAATTACGGCGGGCAGAAAGGGAGAAGGTCTATATCCAGCAACTGGATATTGACACCTCCCTGAAAGCCATGGTGATTTTTAGGAAACAGCCCCCGGAGTCCTAGTGAAGCAAAGAGACACTTTCTGCTTGAAACTTCCTATCTGGGAGTTGGTGTTCTGGATCACACTTGTCGGATTGGATCAATCTTCAGGTTCGGGAACTTGCTTAAAAAGAGCGCGGGCAAGGAGTGAGTAAAATGATGGATGATCACCATTTGCCATCGGATATCACTGAGCTCCCCAGTAAGCGGAAAAACAGCCAAAAGTAGGATATATTTGGATCCAATCACGATATGCAATGTGGGTACATCAGTACGTATACGTTATGTTATTTAGAATGCTTGTAAAATCCCACATGCTTGTGTGGCACGAACACAGCGTCTGGTAGGTGTTAGGAGCCTTTTTAAAACAATAAGCTCCACAAACCATGTTAAAATTCTTGAGGCTCTCCACTTGTCACTCCAACACAGTTGGGCGAATGCATTGACAGTTCTCGCTCCCTCATTCTTTCCACAACACTTCGAACCCTCCGTCCCAGCACACTTTCTGAAGATAATTATAAACTCGTCGTAGAAGGACACCACAACACAGACGAACTCCAGGGGCCTCGACGTTGACAGCACAAAGGAAAAGCAAGGAGAGGGAAGCGGCATGCTGCATTTGTCCATCTGGATTTCAAATTTAGCCATCGGCTTTCTCTCTTTTGTCCCTTCTCGGGACCAGCAATCACTCGCTCGCTCGTGGGACATTTTTCTCCTCCATCCATCCGACTCCAACTCCAGAGTACCTGGAAGCCAAGAAGATTTTCATGGCCTTCAAGCGATGTCTGTCAGGTGGATAGAGATTCCAAACAACTCTCCGATCCTCTCTTCCACATGCCTCGCCTGCCCTCCTTCGCCCTAGCAGCAGCAGGCGAGCAGAGTAGCCAACCTAGGCGCAGGCCGAGGAGCAATCGTCACTCGCTGCTCTTTTAACCAATCAGTCGATGCTCTGGAGCCAGAACTCGACCCCGAATAAAGCTAAAAGAGGCGAATTCCGCCAGATTCTTTTGCAGCCCACCACAAATTGCACCCCCACCTTTCCTGTCTGTGCGCTGGGCATAGCGATAGCTCTCCCCGCCATGACTAAGGGCCGAGGCAGGGATTCAGACCTCGATCGCATCGAACGACGGATGAGCCGAGTCCACCTTCCGCCTTCAGGACATTCCCGGTCACTGACGTGTACCGCGCGAGCTTGGAACCACAAGTTTCGTGAGCGCCGCGCCTAACGTTTCCACCCGTCGTCCGGCCTGCGAGACGCTGCCGCCACACCCGGTCCAGAAGATGTTTATCCACAACCTGCTTGCCTCGGGCACGGGGCCAGGTTCGCGTCCGGTTCGCCAACCTGCTGACGCACGCTCAACCGCTCTCTGCCCGTCCCTCGCCCCCCGTCTGGGTTTCACGTTTCTACCCCGCGCGACTCGCCCGGAGCCGGACTCCCGAGAGGGCTGAGTGCCCGCACACGTGGAAGGCCGGGTCCCCGGATCTGACGCGTGCAGAGCTACGTGGCTCGCGACTTTCTCTCCCCCAGCCTCCCCCCCCTCCCCCCTCCCCCCTCCTCCCCCACCGGCGCCTGCCGCGTGGAAGTCCCGTTGCGGGACGCGAGTCCGGCCTCGCTCCGAAATTAACGCGGTTTCGTTCTCACCTACGACCTGTGCTGGATGGGAATCCAGCCTGCTCGCTACGGCTGTACGACGTGCTGTAGGAGGTCGTCGGCAGGTCACCTCAAAGCGTTACTGCGTCGCTCTGTGTTCGACGAGGACAACCATGCAGTGACCGCCGTGCTCTGTCGTCCCAAACTGGACTGGGGGCTCGAAGTCATCCGATTTTTCGACGACTGCGGGCGTGGTGGGCCCTCCGTGATCCAGCTATAGAACAGGACAGTTCTGCCATTGGGGTCGTTTATCTGGTCCAGCTTCTTCGCTGCTATTCGATTCGTGGACACGAAGCCACAACAATGTCGCGACTACGGAGGAGGGAGTTCAAATTCCAGCAGCGAGCAGAGATACTTTTCGATCCTCACGATCGACCACTCGTTCACGGCCATTTGTCACGCATCCAAGATTGCTTCCAGAATTCATGAATAGTTCTATGTTCTTTCGCCTGTCCGTCAAGTAAAGCATTTGTAGCGAACTCGAGAGTATCTATGGCTCTACATTTTGTCACGAGATTGATTTGCACCCTTTTCTTTGTTTCCCTTTATCATTTTCGTACGAATACCCTATTTTTTATTTCTCTATATAACTTCTGCCCTCGTGTCTTATCGTCCATTCTTCTTTTTTGGTTTTAAGAAAAGTATAGTTCAGCCCAGAATTTTGTTAGCTGACTAGTAAATGGGCATGTGCCTATGACTATACATTGTATGAAACTGACTAAATTGTATACCCCACTGATGGTATTACGGAATGTTCCGAAGTTTCATGCAAATAGTCCCAAAAGGAAAGATGCTGAACTGAGGGAAAATTTTGGAAGCTTCACCAGCACACAGTAGCAGTGAGGCTTTGAGACCATACTATCTTTCTCGAGATATGAATCAACATGTGCTCTCGTTCCATCAATTGAGGTTCTTGCTTGGGCTAGGTTTTCCTAATATTATTATGGCTATGTAACTTTTCGTACCTTTAATATAAAGACTGCACATTTTTGTTGTATCCTTAAAAACTTTCCCATATAAACACAAGAAAGTGTGCTTGTTACAGAAAACGTCTCCTGATTTTTCGGGTAATAATATTTGGACACAATCTACATAACTTCTTGGACCCACTTGTAATTACTTGAAGTTTGCGATTCGTTGACTCGATCAACATTGCCTGGATCGATAAGTTCTAGAGCTGGCTACAGATATTCCTATAAGTATTATGAGGTATTAGATATATATTTTAGAAAATCGGAGCCGAGACAAATATAAAGGTAAATATTTTGAAACAGATAAATGCTTAAATGAGTACAATCTCTACTGGGCTGTCCAATTTAAAATAGAAGAAGCCTCTCGGGATTCGCAGATTGTACCGTCTGTGGATGGAGAATATCATAAACATGAGTTTTGACTGTTTCTATGCTTGCTGAGAAACCGGAAAAAAAATAATGTCTTTTAGATTAATATGAAGACGTCTTCTACCAAAAAGCAAATCTTACAACCTATACAATACTCGAGGTAGGAAGTTTCTAGTAACATTTATCATGAATTCGTGTAAAGTAGAGGATCGAAAAAAATTCACGAATATCATTATCAAATTTGATAGTTGATATTGTTAAGTGATTTCTAATGACTTAACGTCCAGCTCTTTCGATGTCTAAAATAAAATAGTAAATTTTTTATTACCATTAGCTAGAAAATTTGCACATTAATATTGCTTTTTTTTTCTCAATTCCCAGCATGGAGACATGGAGCAAGGAATAATATTTTTCAAGTTCCATTTTTTTTCACGAGAACTGGAGCAGTTACGGCTGAAGAATTCTTCTTGGTGGCATGGAAAGAAGTGCGGTAGATAAGGGTATGCTTTGGTGAGCACAACCTTTATCATAAGCTAACGAAAGTACGTTGAAAGTCTCAAGCAGAAAATATCTTGCACGCTGATTAAGAAGTCTCTGGGAAGGTGAATCTTGGACTACATCAAATCACAAAGCTCTAAAAGGATTGGACATTAGCGGTAAAGAGTATGATAGTGAGAATGGAATAATCATGCTTTGGTGGTCTGATTTAGTACGTCTGCCCTTCTGAATGAGGAGTACATAAGCTTTGACGTTGATCCAAAGCAAGACGCTACCGATGTGATAGTCACAGATCCGATTCTTTGATCCAGATTCTGCAGACTGCTCGGACTTCTGTACTGAAGGGTGAGATCTGATTTTCGCATGATCGAGGAGGGGAAATAATCCATCCCAGCAGCAGCGGGGTTCTAGCCTCTAAAGAACATCCTCCGGTGGAAAAGAACAGTCCATGTCCGATCGTCCAAACAAATTTTCGAAATATTCTTCGGAACAAAAACGAAGACAAACTCTTCGACAAGCTTTTACAAGTACAGGAAATATGGCCGCCTTTCTCGTGGAAAAATGCGAAAGGAAAGTTCCCATTCACGAATCATGGCCGCGCTGCTTCTGGTTTCTATTCGTCCATAGTCACAACAGTACTTGGTCGTGAGAAAAGTTCCACCCTGCCCTGCATGCTCTGACGCTTTCCCTCGCCCCTTCCAATTCGTTGGAATTGGATAAACAAAGGAAGCCGGGTCGGTTTGAAATCTCTTGTGCAACGAATGGAGATACAATGTGGGAGAAAGCCAAACCGAATGCTCGATAGATAGAGCACTGGTGGCCAACTTGGGCACGGGCACGGAAAGATGCAGGTCTCGAGGGCGGTACAGTAAAAGGTCGGCTCTGCAGATGCTCATTGTGTGGTCGCCTTCCACATGCGAAAACCCCATCGCTGCCCGCCATCGTGAGACCGAAATACCGTCCGCCGCCCGCCTGGTGGCCGTGCATGAGATTCTCCCTCTCCATAGCAGGTGCGAACTACGACGGTCCGGTGCCCACGAAATTGCCCAAGAACGTGCAAATTCATTCGCCGGACGTTTTTGTGAGGTTCAGCTTTTGGGGCCCGAAGCTCAAATGAGCTTCGGGCCACGGGAGCTCGAGGGCAGGAGAACATGTTTGTAGTCGGTATTACAGTAGGTCAAGCACGCGACTCTGCCGAACATGGAAAAAGAGTGCATAAATTTCATCCATTTACATGTAAATCCGATAATATGCAATTTGTATAAAAAAACAAACTTCAGCTTTTTATAAATTTCAAAAAGAAAAGTTCAAATGAGACATGTGGATAAATTTAAGTTGATTATTATTATTTTATCTTTTACATTCATGGTTTGGATTTATTGGATCCCAGTTGACAAATAATGGAGAAGTGATTAGAAAGTTAGTCTTGTTAGATTCAAACTCACCTCAGTTACTATGTTGGATCTGGTTGTGACTGTACAACAGCACTTACCGCTACAGAGTAATGTAATAGTCCAAAATTTATCCGAAGAGCTCTCTTTATTCCTTTGCTACACACAAACTGGCGTATTGCGCTTGGAATGTGTAGATCCTTGTCACACAATGAATGCTTATCGAGTTGATAAGCTTCACCTTGACCGTCCCAACTAAGATGCAATTTCTTTTCACGTATTTTTGTAAGAACTTCCGCAACCGTTGATAAACATCATATTCTATCTGAAGTGCACTGTCGGAGATTTTGCATGTGTTAGTAAACAAAGGATGGAATGTCATGTTGAGTTCTTATTTTCGTTGCAATTGCTCAAACTTCATTCCCCACATGGGCCACTAAGCGTGGTGAGTAATATACGATATGAAGTATATTATTCAAATTTTGGTTGCGATAGATCATGAGAATACAACCATTCAATGCACATTTGAGGAAGTCAATCACATTGACATAAAATGATTTTTTGAAAAAAATGTAAGACTACATTATTATTTTTTAATTATTGTGTAGCAATCCTCATATATCTGCAAATTATGCCGGTAATTGTATGGAATGATATGACTTTTTTTAATGCAATGTGCATGTTATCTACAATATATGAGTATCTTGAAGATAAATTTCAGGTAGATGATATTTGTAGTGGGTTCCATGTCATTGGAATCTTTTTCAACCTATTAATTGTGTGTTGCTAATATGCTTCTCGTGACACAACAACACACAAATGTCATTGCATTTATCCATGTTAGAGAGATGTTGTTGCAAAATTCTAAATTAATTTTTTTAATCATCATGCAACAATTATCAGAGTTTCTTGCTTATCTTTATTCACGCCTTATTGGATACAACACACTATGGGTATGAGGCAACAATGGTAGACATTAAAACAATTTTAATTATTCATGCGAAATCAGTTATCTTACAAGTGAATTGTATTGTCTTGTCTCACGATAAATTCTTTTTATGATGTCTTACATGAATTCCTCTCAAGAGAACTCGGAGAGGTTGAAGTATCTTCATCAAACCTCATTTTTATTGCACAACTTCCCTAAGTTTCTAAGAATCCTCTATTCTATCAGCATAGATTTCCACATGAAGAGTTATCGTTTTACAGTCTACTATTGATAATCAAAAGAGAGATTTTTTCTTCATTAAGATAGATATTCGCTATGATTCATCATCCAGATGATTTCAATTCACTGGTTTGATCTTCCTATATTATATATTCTCCACGCATTATGATCCATGTAGATCATTTTCCACTTGACTACCATGGTTTATACTCTAGACTTGAAATCTAAAATGTTGAAGTATAAAGCATGATATTCTATCGGCATTATTCCTTATTTTCAGATTTTTAAGAGATATATGATGTAAACAGCCGGCTTACACATTCTAGTATTGCTAATTGAACTTAAGCTTATGTATAAATCATCTAGAAGTTGTATTTGCTACGAATGTATCGCATGCAGATCATATCTCTCTACTCAAGAATTTTAGAATGATATTGATATTTTTTTCTCTAGTATTGCTTGGAGATCTTAAAATTTCGATTCATCTACTTTTGTTTGGTTTTCTCCAAAAGGAAAAAATGAAGCAACTTTGTAGTAGATAACAACTTGTTACCGGATGAAGAAGGTTCCACTTCTAGTTCCGAATGATAGAGTAGTGATTTTAGAAACCTGGTGACCGCCTCGGACATCCTAATTCGCGGTTACGCCGGTCTCCCGGGACGAGCTGAGAACGAATTTCTCCACGCTCGGCGTGGCCAATCAGCAAATAGTACTCTTCGGGATTACGGTCCCAGCCCTTGGGACGGGGGTTTCGACACTTCTAGGTTTCTAGACCTCGAGGCCATCTCGAAACGGCAAGGTCGCATCGTGCACACGGAGACGACTCCAAAGGAGCGAAAAAAACATGAACCGTCGATGGGCAGTCCTTCGGCGCGAATGAAGGTAACGGTTTGCTCGATACCCATAATGACTTTTGGAGGACGGGGCTGGGAACCGAATTGATTGTCGGGACCGTCCCCAGATTTGCTCCAAGGAAACGGGCCCCGAGACTCGACTCCATGAACCGCGACTCCTCAGGTCACCATGGCTGCGACTCGTTCGTCTCGAGGGGCAACGCGAAGACGACTGGTCAGCCGGCTCCGACGCCGGACACCCGAGTTAAGGACCTCATCGGCCAAACGGCGGGCCTATTATCTCGAAAGCTGTCAGACTTCGATCTGCCCGCCGGTAAAGCCACCGGCGCGTGACTCGGGTGGGGCGGGCCGCAGGGCACAGACAGGGGGCGGTGTGGTTCAGGTCTGTAGGTACGGGAACTTGAGGTTCAAAAAAGCTCTGCACTCTTTCCTTTCGGTAATATCTCGAACTTATCTCGAAACATCCACACCAAAGCCTGCAGGTCGGAGGGTAATCGACTTTCATTTACATAAAAAATAAAATACCTCGTAGCGAAACCCGGGCTAGGATTTTTTTGTGGTCCGAGGAAATTCGACTTCTTTTATGCAATAAATGCGGAAATCTCCTCCGGGAAAAATACCGAAAATTTCCTGGCCATATGAAACCGCATCTTCCGGGAATATGCTTGGGGCGTACGGAGCAACTGCAGATGATCAGGTGGGGAGTGTGGGGACTACTGGACTCTACGCTCGCGGGTTCCTATGGCTCATGGCTCTCGCGGCCCATTGGCTGACGGAGGAGTGGTTGCGGGGCAGAAGGAATCGACCTCATGAGGGTTCGGTCGGATCGGCCGATGGATGGATGGATGGATGGATGGAAAGACGGAGCGAGGGGAATCTGGATGGATGGATGGATGGGTCGAACCACGACAGACGGCTCGGCGTTCGCTTGCACATCGTGTAGCGCTCGCCGTGGTGGATCTGTCACCACATGGTGGATGATAGAGCATGGCATGTGATGATGATGAGGACGACGATGAGTCAGTCGCAAGGCGCTCCTCCGCCTTTTGGCCCGCTTTCTACAAAAAGAGGCTTCCGCACTTGACTCCTGCACCGCATTCCTTCCTCCCTGTCTCCCAGTCTCTCAGTCTCTCAGCGTCTCAGTCCAGCACCTCGCTCGCTCTTTCACCTTCCTCCGCGCTTTCCTCCCTTCCATAGTCGCGTCTAGTCCACCTCCCCTCCCCTCACCTCACCTGCGAGGCAGTGTCGAGTGAGCGATTGATCTCGAACAAGCAAACGTGTTGTAGATGCTTCGAGCTGATCTAGCCCAGGATTACGACTCTGTCCATATCGGCGTCTGCGTAGTTGCTCAGTCTGTCGAAGCGGAGAAGACCTCTGCGGTATTGGACGTGTGTTGACCGTGACATTTGTGTGTCTTCCGGTGTACATAACTTGCGCAGGACGGTTGTCATCGTCGTGTGATTTCTCGTTCGTTCTGTTGTTACCAATTGCATATATTTGAGGACAGCCTTCGTACGCATGCATTCATTTGTGTGCTTGAGTTTTCCGAAGTTTCTGTACAAAGTGGCGAACCCCTAGTACAAGTGTTCGTTTCGTGTTCAGACATCCGATTGTGTACATTCTACATCTGCATCGTCCCGAGTTGAGAGGTATTGGGATCAGCGGTTTCGTTATCGTCGGCGTCTAGCGAATTGTAACTCATTATGGCGGCAGTGTATTGGCTGGTCGGTCCGAGCACTTTTCTGGGATCGAGCAGAAGTGTCGTGGCTCCGGAGTCTTCAGCGGTAGAAATTCCTTCCAGCAGCAACGTTGTCGATGGACCAGTGCGAGTTAGATGTGTTATTCAGGGTTCGAGTTTGGGTTCAGGGCCCGGGCAAAGCACGCAAAGATCATCAAAGGACTTCGACACGTGCCTCACGGCCTCTTCCTTCCCCAGCACCTCTCTCTCTACTTCGCCGCCCAGCTCTTCACCGTCCGCCGACGAGTGGTGGAGGTCTCAGGGTTCCCGTGGCAGCCATCCCGACGCACTCGACATGCGCATGTTTGGAATAGCCACGGAAGGACAGAGTAAGGTTGCTGATTGGGAATTAGGTTCAACTCCTTGGTTGGAACATCACTTGGAAGAGACCTCAACTAGCAGAGGAACGTCCGGTGGAGTCCCCGTTTTCGTGATGTTGCCCTTGGACAGTGTGAACATGAACAACACTGTTAACAGGAAGCGAGCCATGAACGCTGGTCTCCTTGCGCTGAAGAGCGCTGGCGTGGAAGGAATTATGATGGACGTGTGGTGGGGAATAGTGGAGAAGGATGGCCCAATGAAGTACAATTGGTCTGGTTACATAGAGTTGATTAATATGGCCAGGAAGCATGGCTTGAAGGTGCAGTGCGTAATGTCGTTTCACCAATGTGGTGGAAATGTCGGGGACAGCTGCAAGTGAGTTCATCTGCGCATCCTCTGATGTTAATGTTTGATACCTTAGTATATTTTCCTTCTAGTTCCCGTTGTCTTGCCTACGTTTGGCGATTCACCTGTACTTCTAGGCTCACATCCCCTAGAGATCTCTTGGCCGATGCAGTTGAGGAGTTTTCTAACCCAAGTTGATTATGTTGCTGCAGTATTCCGCTTCCTCCATGGGTCGTTGAGGAAATCAAGAGCAACAACGACCTAGTGTACACCGACAAGTATGGAAACCGGAATTACGAGTATCTCTCGTTGGGATGTGATAGTCTTCCTGTCCTGAAAGGAAGGACTCCAGTACAAGTTTACAGCGATTTCATGAGGAGCTTCCGAGATACTTTCAAGGACTTGCTCGGAGATACCGTTATTGTAAGCATCTTCCCTCTTTCCCGGTGGTTGTAGTCTCAGTTCGTATATTTCATTGTACATAGGTTTCTCACCAGGGGTTGTCTTCTCACACGAATGAATCTAATTTTACAGGAAATCCAAGTGGGAATGGGACCGGCAGGAGAACTTCGTTACCCCGGATATCCTGAGCAAAACGGTCGATGGAGGTTTCCCGGTATCGGGGAGTTTCAGTGCTACGACAAGGTATGTTGCAATTGACGTTCTCACCTACACGCACCGTTATCGTGTTCATACTTGGTGGAGGCAGTGATCACCTTACTGCGTGGTTATTGACCTGATTTTTGTTTGTCTATGCAGTATATGATTGCCAGCTTGAAGAGCGCAGCAGAGGCGATTGGAAAGCCTGCATGGGGTCATGGTGGACCAAGTGATGCTGGTGATTACAACAGATGGCCGGATGAAACGGCCTTCTTTTCACGCGATGGAGGCTGGAAAAGTGCCTACGGCGAGTTTTTCCTGGATTGGTATTCGAAAATGCTGATCAATCACGGAGAGAAAATTCTGTCAGCGGCAGCTGGGATTTTCCGAGGTACTGGTGCAGTTCTTTCCGGCAAAGTTGCTGGTATCCACTGGCATTATGGAACTAGATCGCACGCCGCCGAACTTACTGCAGGGTACTACAACACTCGTTATCGCGACGGATATGCGCCGATTGCACGTATGTTTGGCCGGCATGGAGTGACATTAAACTTCACGTGCATCGAGATGAAGGATGAAGAGCAGCCTCCTCAAGCAGCTTGCAGCCCTGAAAGTCTGTTGAGGCAGGTGACAGTGGCGTCTCGGACAGCCGGCGTCCGTCTGGCGGGAGAGAATGCTCTGCCACGCTTCGATCAAACCGCTTACAACCAAGTTGTGAAGAAATCTCGCTTGCAATTCAACCTGCATGGCGACTCTCAGGAAGAGCAGGAGCCAATGTGTGCTTTCACCTATCTGCGCATGTCTGAGAGTCTGTTCCAAGCAGACAACTGGAGACTGTTCGTTCCATTTGTCAGACATATGCAGGAAGGAAGAACCTTCCAGCCTTGGGAGCAAGGTCATCAAGATTCTGAGTCTCATGTCCACGCTACGAGACCTCTGGTTCAGGAAGCAGCACAGGCCCTTATGTACCATTAGATTGAGTAGAGGAACAGGAATGTGGCATCGATAGCCACTGACAAGTGCGATAAATAGTTTTGTGTATGTTCCTGCCTGCATCAATGATTGAGATGTTGGTAATGTCCCCTCTGCTGTAGTTTCCACCCATTTACATGTTACTAGTACATAATAGATCAATGTTAGATATGAGAACATTGTATAGAGAAATTAGCCGAAATGGCAATCACAAGGGGAAGTTACAAAAGCAAACATCGCTTGGGTGGGCGATGTCTTACTGTAGATTAATTTTGATGAGCACATTTGTCCTACGTATGTACAGGTACTTGTAGAATTAACTCATTTCGTGAAGATGACGTTATTCATCATATATCTTAGCAACAATTCAGTCTATTGAATTGAAATATACCCATTTGGTCCATTACGAATATGCTTTGAAATTAAGATTCTTGAAAGTGGAAGAGAAAATATCGAATCGGAAAAAAAATTTCATCTAAGAGAAGAAAATAGTGTGGAACAAAATATAAATAATTTTGTAAAAAATAACCTTCACTTACAAAGACAACTGTAAATTTACATCAAAAATCACTTTCTCTTTCTAAAACTGTTGAAAGAAAAGAGAAAAAAACCAAATAAGACAAATAAAATGAAGAAAATTAATTAGAAAATGTATAAAATCTATGAATCATCATCCCCTAATTAAACATTGTATCATATAATATATCATAATTTATAATCCAAAAAATGAAAATATATATGACAAAGTGGTTATGTACAACTATAACGAATAATATATTATGTAAAAAAATATTCTTTCCGGAACCAATAGTTTTTAATATGTACATTTATTTTAAATGATAATAATGATAAATAGTGATAACTTCAAATATAATTTTCGAATAAAAAAAATTATCATGATCACAATACATAATTATGAAATAAAAAAATGTGACTAATTATTTACAGATATATATCTCAATTTATTCTTTATGGGATTACAGCAAAATATAAAATATTTCCTTATATATATTATCATCAATTGTTTAATTTAAATTTTATTTTTTTATCAATCTGAATTAGAACATATTTAAAACAATATATATGTGCAAATGAAATACATTTTGAAACCAAACAACATATTGATAGAATACATTAGGATTAATATAATACATAATAAAAAATCTATGCATTTTTTATACATATATAATTGATATTTCCCAATATTGACATTTAACCTAGGTATGTTACTATTAAAAGATTATATTTAAATTACGCACCTTCTAATAATGACATCCACTTCTAACACCAATTTATGAAACTATTATGAGATTATAATGATATTAACTGTGACATCTCACAGTAGTACCAATATATATCAATTATATATTTTGATATTCATGTTATACTTGGTGAATTATTTCTCTAGATATCTCTATGATTAGTGAGATGCAGAGACAAGGGAAATATAGTGGCTCTTGGCCTCGGTGTAACAGCGGCAGATGAGGTAGTGTTAATTGCTCTCACTCCCTTCCTTTCCTTCTTCCAGATCTTCCACTGCGGTCCACACACCGCCTTGCTTGGCGAAAAATGACGAACCACACGGCGGTGCACGTTCTGCTACTCGACACGATTTAGTCGGCGTCGTGGAGCTCGAACATCCGATAGTCGCCAAACAGACTTGCATATACCATTCGTCTTTGATCAGAATTCGCCCCGTCCCTCCCACTGTCGACCATTGCTCCGATGAAAATTGTCGTTGAAAATCGTCTGCCAAATCCAAGAATGCAAGAACTCCCTCTCACTCCGCAATTCGGATTTCTCGTAATTTCGAGTCGAAATTGATCTATTTTACGAAATCCCTTTAGTAACCATTCTAAACGGTGAACATGAAAGGTGAAAGATAGAGGGGGAAAAAATTAACTCGATCAACTCACGAAGAAGTTATTTTAGAAGTAGCATCCATCCATCCCAAAAAAACTATATCAGCTTCCCGTCCCATCGTTGCATCTCACCAATCATAGACTTTTAGAGAAGATGGTATAGTAGGTTGATGTATAAGTAGCCAAAAGTGAAGGATAATTAGACTCTCCTTGATTTATTAGTGCACCATCCTAATGTTAATCACTTTTAAAAAAATTCAGATAAATTGAGATTCAAAACTTTCTAAGTAACAATAGCATTTATTTCATCTGCTTGTAAAATAATAAAGTATGAGAAGTTTGTGAATCATGATTTTTATAATCGTTGAGTTAAAATAAATTGAAATTGCAAATGGAAGACAAAAAAGTAAACAGAAAAAATGTACAGTGAAAAATAGACCGATAATATATCTTGGCTCGAATTTTATCAGAATACATAATATGATGAATAAAGATAGAATGCAATCCTCAAGTAAAAAAGTGATCAAAGTTGATATATATACGTATATCAAATACGTATATATATCAACTATATCAATATACGTATACAATGTTTCAGAACCGGTATTTTTTTGATATTCAATCTAAAAAATTATTGTGAACTTCAACCATTTAATTTTCTTTTCATTTAAAAAAAATCTAAAATTATATTAAATGATGACATTATCTCAAATAATGGCAAAGATATAAACTTCATATATATTTTTCATATTAAATAAAATAATACAAATATGAATGTACAAATGAAATTGAGCTCTTTGGAGTTTTCATGCATCACATGAATTCTAGAACCATATTTTTATATTTTGAAATGTATGTTCTTCATCAATATATCTATTATACGAAAAAAATAAATATCCTTACCGTATGATACAATGTAAAAATTCCTTGTGAATTTATTAAAAAAATGGAAAAAATTCAAACAAATTTAAATAACATCACAGTCACAAATGAGATGAATTTGTTATTTTAATGGTCCTTGAAATAATTATTTAAAAAATTTCTCAAAACAAAAAATAGAACAATTGAAACTCATAAGTTTGTTATGATTTTCATTTTCGCTGAAAATTGTAGATTAATGAATATAGTTGTGAACAATTTTATATCTCAGATCAATAAATTGAAACAATGATATATACAATAATGTGAAAATATGAAAAAAATGTAAATACAATATGTGCGGGAAAAAAAATTACTGAAGTGATACTACAATAAAACTTTATTGAAAAATTATCTTCCTCTACTAATTTTCTACATTTTAAAGCTAAAATTTGGAGCCACAAAATTCATTGTTTACTACGCAAATGATATTGATAGAATTTGATTGAATTATATAAGATCATCAAATTATATTTAAAAATATTATGAAATATATGATTATTGAAATTGCAATCATTAATAATTTACTCGATTTTGGTATGAACATATAAATTTTATTTTTTTTATCAACACTTCAATCCAAGATGTATAAAACGATTATTATAACAGCAATGTCAAAATTTGCATATCAAACACATAGGATGTTCAATTCAAAAAATGGCCAAAAGTAATCAGCAAATTCAGTTAACTAAAAGACACAATTTGAAAATTACCTGTATACATAAATGTAAGTTTTAAAAATTTTATTGATGAGTAGAGGACAAATACTACTCAGATTTTTATCATTTTAAAAAAAATTGATAATAAGGTAAGAAATATTTTAAAAAAAATTTTAAAATGAAACTTTTAATCTGAAAGAAAGTTTTAAAAAATTGTTAAAATTATTATAAATTATTAAAAAATCAAAATATTCTCAAATTTTAAGCTTAAAAAGATATGCATTCATGAATACATATTTATAAATTTTCGATGTTAAATTAGTGTAAATTCTGACAAAAAACAATTCTAATTTAGTTTTAAATATTTTATGCATTTTATTTCTATATGATAATGAAAAAATATAAAAAATCAAGAGGATTTATAAAATAAAAAATGAAATTAATTTTATGAATTGTAAGCATTTTAAATCTTTTTGAGAATAAATAAGGTCAATAATCCAAATAAATTGGAAGTTTGATATTTTTCTGAATTTTTGAAAAAACTTCTCACTAAACTTAATCTTTAAATTCTTAATAATTAGTTTCATGTTTTAATTCAAACGTCAAAGTATAGAAAAAAATTGATGATGTTGATAATTTTATACTATATCTGCATCCATGCTAACGTCGACTGAAATATATCCTAATATCCATTTTGTCCCATCATATATTTCAAATATCATCATATTATTTAAATTTTAATGTACAACTCAATTTTATACAAACTTTTCATGCATCATTCCAAGTAAATAATCATCAAACTTTCATCTAATGTAATTTTGAAGTATACTTTCATTTTATTGATGATTCAGAATCCGTGAGGTTTCAGTCTTTATCATTATTCATACCCAATGTTGAAAAAAAAAAAATAACCATATTTTATTAGTTAATCAAAACTCTTCATCTTTCAATATTTGAGTCTGAAAATTTGTCTTTTTGCACAGATTTTTCAATCTAATTTGAAGTTTTAAGAAAAATCTGAGCACATTAACATCAAATAGTTCACTAGCTATGTATATTATATACGTGGCACAAAAAATATCTAAGTTCAAGTTGTAATATTTTAAATCTACACAGAGATAAAAAAAATTTCAATGGAATATTTCGAATCTCATAAACTATGACATTGTTTGTTTTATGATGTGAAGGTATGATAGTTTTATCATACTCTATCAAAATTATAAAATTTTCTATTAAGCAGCACCTACAAAAATTTATTTCAAAATCCAATTTAGGCATGCACAATCTAAGATTCCTTTATCTAAGTTTTATCTCTATAAAGTGAAAAAAAAATGCATTTTTTCATCATATAGCATTGTTGTCATCTAGCACATCATCTTCATTCTTAAGTGTATTTTTCTCTTATGATCACAACATACTAATTTTGTTTGCCACAATAACATTCCTTTTGAAATTGTCATCTTTGTAAGAATTTTGATTGTCTAAACTAAAGAAATTTAAATTAATGTAGAGATTGTCTTACATTTTTTTTATCTTCACAATTAATATATTTTTTAATTCCTTTCACAATTTACATTCAACATTGTGCTTGGTAAAATAGATTATTCAGATTAAATTATTTTCTTCTGCTCAAAATCATCTATTAGCAAAGCACTTATCTATACATTTACGATAATGATCCTTTTATCAATATGATATAACAATAACTGTAAAGACAAATAAATTCAAAAATATAAAATAAACTCAAAAATCAAAATTTTTTATTCAACTCCTAAAAAAAATAAGAGTATTGAAAGCGAAAATGTGATCTCGTTTTTGAGTTTGAATATGTTTTATACTTTGATTCATGTGCTTCCAGGATGTAAACAAGAAATTTAAGATTCTTTTATGATAATACTTCAATGAAACTCCTTAATAAACGTGATGGATTTCTATACACTGAAAACGTTTGATGATA